ACCCCTACTTGACTGCAGAGACCCCTACTTGACTGCAGAGAGCCCTGCTTGACTGCAGAGAGCCCTACTTGACTGCAGAGACCCCTGCTTGACTGCAGAGACCCCTGCTTGACTGCAGAGACCCCTACTTGACTGCAGAGAGCCCTGCTTGACTGCAGAGAGCCCTGCTTGACTGCAGAGGGGTCTCAGAGCCACAGGTTGCAGACCCCTGACATCCTAAAGGTTGATCTGCATGTAAAACTGGACATTATTACACAAACTGCCTATAAATGAGAAAAGCTCTGTAGGTAAACAATGTCAACCACTACAAATAYACATTTTATTGGCAGCTGCCACAAAAAGCTCATTTTCATCCAGTCGACATAATAAACCTTAAAACCTGCTTTTTCACAGGAGACACCACATTATTATTTGAAAAATAAAATAAAAGGAGGTGTCCTTCATGGCCTTAAGCATGTTTAGTTGTAAACAGTAACAGTTTTGTACAGTAACCAGCTCTCTGACAGGCAAAACTGGTTCCAACAATGTGAAAAGCCAAGGTCCAAACCCAACTGGTTCTACGACCTGAGCTAGTGAGTTTACAGCTTCTGTTCAGTGTTTTGTCAAATAAACAGATTTGTAACATAAGTAGAGAAGAATAATCATAAAGTCTGATTTAATTTATAACATTTCCCCTCTCAACTCGTGTGTTAGGCTGACATTTATAAACTGTGAGCAGAGATGATCAGTTTAGTTGGTTCATCTGGATGTAACAGATTAATTTAAAGTTAGAAAATGCTGTAAAGTTCATTTGACCTGATATTCAATTTCCAGCGAGCCCTCTGCCTTCATGGTTTGGTAGAAACACTCCTTCCGACCAGCAGGTAGGGTGAACGTGAAGTCGCTGTCCGCAGCCTGGGAGAAGGCGAGCACCGCCACAAACCTGTCCGAGAGCAGCGACACAAACACGGACAGCAGACACAAACACGGCCGGGCTGGCTCCATGGTCGAACCTGCGGCTCACAAAGTCCAAAAACACCTCAGTTCTGTCAGCAAACAACTCTGAAACACAGCTCCGACAGGGTTTGAACGATAGCTCAAAGTTAACTTCAACCAGTGACTGAAGGCTGCCGACAGCTCAGGACCCCGCCTGACTAAAATTACACTTCTCTGCCTGCACTGGTTGTAAAATATCATGTTTTTTTCTGTCCCTGTTTACACCTTCCTAGTAAAAAGTATATTACCTTACTGTAACAAAAGTATGTTAAGATTAACAGTTTTTACTTTAATAAATGTTGCTGAAAAGTTTTCAGATTCCATTGTTTTCAAATGTTTTACCTTCTAAATATCTTTTATTTTCAAGTGCTTTTTGATACCAAACCACTTTTACTTATTCATCACTGCAACTGATACATCATAAGCAACTTGAGTGATGTATAGCAGAGGTTCTCAAACTGGGGTCCCTGGACCCACAGGAGTCCGTGAGAGGTATTTTGGGGGTCCTCAATTTTTTTTTACTAAATTGTTAATTTGGTTTTTATTTTTTAAAAATGCATGTAGAACAATGAACTAATAAAACAAACATAATAAACTAAATAAAAATATATATTCCCATGGGGTTGAAATGAGAATAAATTATCTTTTAAAACAGCAGGGGTTATGATGGGGTCCCTGGAATTATTTTTGCCCTCGTAAGGGGTCCCCAGACCCAAATGGTTTGAGAACCCCTGATTTATAGTCAGTAAAGCTTTTTATGTGTGATAAATGTATGAACTGTATGATTGATGTGTCCACAAACAAGTACCTTAAATGGTAGTAGTAGTAGTAGTAGTTGTAGTAGTTGTAGTAGTAGTAGTAGTAGTAGTAGTAGTAGTAGTAGTAGTAGTTGTTGTTGTAGTAGTAGTAGTTGTAGTAGTAGTAGTAGTAGTAGTAGTAGTAGTAGTAGTAGTAGTTGTAGTAGTAGTAGTAGTAGTAGTAGTAGTTGTAGTAGTAGTAGTTGTTGTAGTAGTAGTAGTAGTAGTAGTAGTATTAATAGTAGTAGTAGTAGTAGTAGTTGTAGTAGTAGTAGTAGTAGTAGTTGTAGTAGTAGTAGTAGTAGTAGTAGTAGTAGTAGTAGTTGTAGCAGTAGTAGTTGTAGTAGTACTAGTAGTAGTTCTA